GTCAGTCAGAGTGGTACTCAGGCGGCCACTAGTCAGATTGGTCATGTGCGAGTCAGCCAATCTCCTATCACGCCGGAGGACTTGGAAATCTGGCAAGCAGAAGAACTTCAAGATGAGCTACAGCGGCAGATGGATGAAGTAGTAAGAGGAGAAGGAAAGCTATGCAAAGAAAAGCTAGACTAGAGAGTAGATTGCAGGAGTTAGGCAGACTGGAAAGACTAGATGAGGCAACATTAGACCCTGCTGTTCGTGTGCTGCGAGACACCTTACTTTCAGTGGCGGAAGCGCAAAGCGTTCAATAGGAATTGTTGGCTGATTTGGTAGCAGGCCAGAAACAAATTCTGGTTGAACTTAGGGGCATTCGCCCAACGGCGAGGCCGCCACAGTTTGCTGTAGTTCCCCCTGTAGGTGCGGGTCCATCATCGATGCCGCAACGCACAGGGCAAACTTTCTCTCCCATGTTTGGCATGCCCTCCCCGGGTGGTTTAGGTGCAACTAGTGGTCCGGTTCATTCAGTCTGAGCCGTACCATCTACAACAGTGGTCACTACAGTCCCACTGTCCAGCCAGGCCCAGGTTAGTATGCAACAGCCTGTTTCAGTGGCTATGCAGCCGCTGCATCAAGCACCTGGGCCCATGCAGCCGATGCAGTGGATGCCCAAGATACCTCTAATGAGTCCCAAGCCTTTCTCTGGAGACAAGAAGAGGGAGGAAGACTTGGACACCTGGGTGAGGACTGTGCCTACTTATGTGAGGCACAAGCTCACAAGGCCAGAACAGGAAGTGGTAGTGTCTGCCTCCTTTTTAGAAGGATCAGCAGCCCGCTGGTTGAATGGCTTGGTGCAGCAACAGGGCTACGGTCAGGATTTCGATGCCTGGGCTCAGTCTCAGACGTTGGAACAGTCCGTACGGTCCGTCTACAACAGGTGGAATGAACCGCAAGGGGCTCAAAAGGCCACCGATGCTATCAACAACCTTTGTTCCCGTAGGTTCAAGGATGTTAGAGAGCTTACAGACACCGTAGAACGCCTCCTCGTGGTACCTGGTGTGCGTTTTGACCCGCAGGTTCTCCTAACGGACTACCTAAGGTGCCTACCTACAGAGGTAAGGACCAAGCTGGTTGACGAGGCCTATATCGACCAGCACACTTTTGCTTCTTTTAGTAAGAAAGCACTGGACATAGATGCAAAGCTAGGATCTGCACATAAGGCATCCAATGATGGTAGGAAGAGACTGCCCAAAGACTGGAAGAAAAAGGGTCAGTTAATGTTCGTTGACCACGATGGTCAAACKACGGAGATTGACGACTACTCAGATCTTGGGGAGTTCACAGAGCACGATGGGGGTGGTGAGACTTCAGATGGTGGAGTCGTGGCACCCATCAAGGAAAAGGCTAGGGGGACCGGGAAGAAGAAGGTAGTACGGTCCACGGGTCAGGGCGACCAAGGAACACCCGCATGGGTGAAAATTGGTTTAGAATACGAGGTGTGGCGTGACCGCGTTGCTAGGGGTACATGCATGAACTGTGGCAACTTTGGCCACACGTACAGGACTTGCCGCGGCAAGAAAGTCACAACGAAGGTAGCTTCACCAACGGTGGTGGGCTTATCTTCGAACCCTGGGAGTGCTTCTGCGAGCAGCTCACAGGGAAACACCTCGGGCCAGTAGGAGTGTTATCCGCTCTTACTCGCGCTGAAGTGGTAACGTTGCCTTCCCCACTTCAGGCGTTGGCCAAGGCTAGTGACCCACGTATCGCCCCGAAGACACATTCGGACCCACCGATGCTCTGTTCGAGAGATGTGTCTGAGGCCCTAGAAGAATTAGAGACTGAGTGGTCAGGAAAGGACCCCAGGGACTCTTGGGCGATGATGAGTGGAGGCCCAAAGGGTGAACATTTCGTGGTAGAAGTAGATGTAGGTGGCCGCAAGATTGGCGTCTTCGCAGACACAGGCTCTACACGAAATTTCATCAGTCGTGCTTGTGTGGATAAACTGCGCTTAGGGGACCAAGTGCAGCGGCTTAGCAGAACTGTAGCTTCTACGCTAGCCAACAAGCACAAGATGGTAGTAAAAGACTATGTCAAGGACGTAGCCTGTTCCTTCTCCTATGGAGGAGGGGAAGTGATCCACAAGATCTCCTTCCTGGTTAGCGACGAACTGCCATTCAACATGTTACTGGGCATGTTTTACCTCGAAGTCTCACAACCACAATTTGATTGGGATAGAAAGGTGTTGATACACAAGTTGCCAAATGGTAGGGCCGTTAGGTTGCAAAAGTACAAGGCTAGCAGTCTAGTGGAGAACTACGGCTGCATGCGCGCTTCGTCTTTCTATAACTACTACAAGCAGAATCGCGAGGAGGGCATGTACCTAGTTTTTGTCTCTGAGAAAGGGGAGGCCGTTAAATCACCCCCAGAGATAGAAAAAGTCGTCGCTTAATGTTCAGACCTTTTTTAGGAGCCCACAGGTGTGGTGGAAAGGGAGGTGGTCCATGCAATAGAGGTTGTCCCAGGTAGTAAGGTGCCTAGAGGACGAATCTATAGGATGTCTCCTGCGGAGTTAGATGAGCTTCGCCGCCAGCTTAAAGAGCTCACAGAGAAGGGATGGATACGGCCTAGTACCTCCCCTTACGGTGCGCCAGTCTTATTTGTTCCTAAGAAGGGAGGTCCATTAAGGATGTGCATTGACTATAGGGGCCTCAATGCCATCACCGTAAAGAACGCGGAGCCCCTACCCCGCATTGACGACCTCTTGGATAGAGTGCAAGGATGTCGGTACTTCAAAAAGATAGATCTGAAGTCCGGATACCATCAAATTGTCGTTAGACTTGAGGACCAACACAAAACCGCATTTCAGACCAGGTACGGTCTGTACGAGTTTGTGGTGATGCCTTTTGGCCTATGCAATGCGCCTGGTACGTTCCAGCACGCGATGAATAGGATCTTTCATGACTACTTGGACAAGTTTATCGTCGTGTACTTCGACGATATTCTCATCTTTAGTAGGATTGTAGAGGAGCACGCTGAGCACTTGAAAATAGTGCTAGCTCTCCTAAGACAGCACCAGTACAAGGTAAACTTGGATAAATGCGAGTTCGGTCGCACCAAGATCTTGTACTTGGGTCATTAAATATCAGCGGATGGATTGAGGCCGGAAGATGCGAAGGTGGCCAGCATACGTGACTGGCCCAGACCTCAAACTGTTACTGAGGTCAGATCGTTTTTGTGGATGACGGGCTATTATCGTCCGTTTGTGAAAAACTATAGTACTATAGCTTCCCCATTGAAAGATCTTACTCGACTTGACACCCCTTGGGAGTGGACTGAAGAGTGTGAGGCAAGCTTCAAGCAATTGAAGTATGCTCTAACACACTATGAAGTTCTCAAACTTCCCGATCCTGACAAGCCGTTTGTCGTGACAACAGACGCCAGCCAATATGGCATTGGCGCTGTCCTTGCGCAACAGGAGGGGCCAAAGTTGAGACCGATCGAGTATATGAGTAAGAAGATGCCTTCCAAGAAGCTAGCTGCGTCCACTTATGAAAGAGAGCTCTACGCCCTATATAGAGCGCTAGTTCATTGGCGACATTACCTCCTAGGGAGATTTTTCTATGTGAGGTCTGACCATGAGACTCTGTGCTGGATTAAGACGCAGCCCGTGTTGCCTGACGCACTCAAGAGATGGATTCAAGTGATAGATATGTATGACTATCAACTTGATCCTATCAAAGGTCCGTACAACAAAGTGGCAGATGCGCTGTCAAGAAGGGCAGACTATCTAGGCGCACTAGTAACTGAATTCGACATATCTAATGATCTTACTCGATCGCTGGTGGACGCCTATCAGGGAGATACAGTTATGTCAGAGATCATTCGTAGATTCCAAGCAAAGGACAAGAAGACTTTGGACGAATTTACCATGGTAGATGGCTTGCTGTTCCTTGAAAAGGCAGGGTTTAAAAGACTATGTGTCCCGGATAGTGAGTCTTTGCGTAGTTTATTTTTAGGAGAATGTCATGATGTTGTAGGTCATTTTGGTTATAAGAAGACATCAGCAAACTTAGTACAAAAGTTTTGGTGGCCTTCTATGATGAAAGATGCAAAACTGTATGTCGAGACTTGTCAGGTTTGTCAAAGATACAAACCCAGGACTCAGGCTCCACTTGGGCTGATCAAGCCCTTGCCAATCCCTGAAGGTCCAGGTCAGAGTGTCTCCATGGATTTTATGGACACTCTTGTGACCAGCAAAACCTGCAAACGACACATATTCGTCATAGTAGATCGCTTTACTAAGTATGCCAGACTTATCGCTATGCCGGAGACAGCAAAGACAGATCACGTCATCAAGCTGTTTATGGATGATAACTGGGTAAGGGATTTTGGTCTACCTACATCTATCGTAAGCGACAGGGATGTAAGATTTACCAGCGAATTGTGGCAGTCTACAACTGAACAGATGGGAACCAAACTCCAGATGACATCAGGGAATCATCCTGAGTCAAATGGACCGAGTGGTACAGCATTTGCTGCGGCACTACCTCAAGCCAAGTCAGGATGACGGGGACGAGAAGTTACCTCTCGTCGCCAGCCTGTATAATAACGCAGTGCATAGTGCTACCAGAATGACTCCCAACCAACTGCATCTTGGTTGGCACCCTAGAACTGCCTTGGACTTCTTACTACCGGAAAGAGAATCCACTGCAGCACCTCGAAGCATAGAGTTTGCTGTTAAGTATGAACAGATGTTGCAGCAAGCCGTAGAGCACATTAGAAAAGCTCAAGATGCAATGATAGCATCTGAGAATAAGCATAGACGGCCTTCTAATTTCCAGGTAGGTGACAGAGTTTGGGTAAAAGCATCTGAACTTGGTCAGGAGCTAGGAATCTCTAGAAAATTGATGCCACAATTCTTCGGTCCGTGGGAGGTCCTAGATGTGATAGGAGATCAACCGGATGGGCCATCCTATGTGATTCGC